CCTCAATAGTGGGAATTTTAGTGTAATTTTTGTAGGTGTGATTAAAAAAGAAAAAATGATAGGGAAAAATAAAATAAAATCAAAAGCAGAAAAAGAAAAAAATAAAATTAGATTGATTTACGCGCTCAGGCTAGCGCGTGCAGTGCAAGCACTTGCCTGGGCGTGAGAGTTGCGCCTCACATGCAACTCTCCCTTCCTCACTGTGGGACCCACATTTTACAAAATTTGGGGTGCTTGCAGGAGCAATCCATTTCATCTCTCTACTCCTCTCTCTTTCATGTAACAAAAGCAACTGAAAAAGTCATGTAAGATCCCCTTAATGGGGATGCCTTAATTGCATAAAAGTGAAGAGCTAAATGGTCTAATTTAAGCTATTGTTAATTTTTGGGGCTAAGGAGAGCCTTTAAGATTGAAAATTCAACTTTTTTAGAGAAGACATAAAATGATGGGACAATTTGAATTGTGTTGCAAATGATATTGTGACGGGTGTATGATGGGGTGATGATTACATTATAAAATATGTGATGTGATAACGGCAATGCTAAAAAAAGAAAAATATGTTTTTTTTTTCAATACCGCCTCAACTAGGCTTGAATCTACAACTTCTTATATGAAAGTGTAACTTGGTGTCAAAAGACCATAAGATCCTTGGCAAAAGTTATGTTTAAATATGTTATTATATATATATATATATATATATATATATATATATATATATATATATATATAAATCAAATAAGAAACTATTGTACCATACGAGAGGAAATTAATTAATAACCAATCAGAATCGATGTAGAATTTAGATTTAACTACGTTAAGCAAGAAGAAGAGAAGTGAAAATATGGTGATATTTTGATAAATAACTCAAACTTTAAGTGCAAGTAACAACACTACTATGGTTTAGTTTTGAAATAGCAATACTATGCAATATCTTAAAGTGTATCCGGCGATATGTTTAAATGCGGTGAAATGGTTCACCTTTGAGTGTTTATGGTTATTTTTCTTTTAATTTGGTTTAAAAGTTCACTTTAAAGTTTAGTAGTTATAATTTATCTTTAGAGTGCACTTAGTATAAAAAGTTCACCTAACGATATTATTAATTTCACCCAATGTGAAAGTTAATTGCACTTAGGGTTTCAGTTTATATAATTTTTTGTTTTAAGTTTTTTATTTTTTATACTTTGGTTTAATGTATTCATTTTTTCCTAATTAGGAGTTTAGTATTTATGTTTACCTTTGTATTTAGTCTTGTGGTTTGATTTTTAAGGTTTATCAACATATGTACTTTGTTGTTTTGTTCAATTGTACTTTTTTTAGTATTAAAAGTTGTACTGTGCAACATTGCAATATTGCACTTTAATTTAAAGTTTAAATTATTTACAAAAATGTCACTATATTTTTTCTTCTATTTGCTAGCTTTAGATCCATTATCTTTTTAGATCAACAGCTTTGATTAGTTTATAGTTCTCTTCTGAGCAGTGGTTCTTATGAGAGTGAGAGTCCCTATATATTGTTGAAAATTTTTACAAAATTGACATTTTGAGTGGTCATTTTGTGGGACAAATATATATGAGTTTCAATTTCAATTTCAATTTGGGGTGGATCAAAGTGAAATCAGGTTCTTTTAAGTGAGACAAAGAAATCGACATACTGTGCACTCAAAATAAGTAATGAGTGAATGAGAAAATGATTCTCAAAATATATCCATGAAGTAGGAAAATTGGAGTTAGGAAGGCTTGGAATAAGTTTTTTGACCCACATAGGAAAATGGATTTGAGAATGCATTAGTATATAACAATTTCCCTTTTAGAAGAATTTGAATTATATAGCACATAAACTCGATCTCTCTCCTGCGCTGATGATGCTGGACTAAAGTCAATCGTTATGCCTTGGACCCGTGTCCAGCATGCTTGCTGGACACGGGTAACAGTGCCGTTAGGCACTGTTATCTCCTCTTTTTTTTTTTTTTTTTTTTTTTTTTTTTTTTTTTTTTTTTTTTTTTTTTTTTAAATTTCAGATCACTTTGTTATAGAAGTATATGTTCATAATTTTATTACTATATGTTAATAACTATACATTCATAACTCCATAATTGTACGTTCATAACTCTATAACTGTACATTCATAACTCTATAACTGTACATTCATAACGTCATAACTGTACATTCATAACTCCATAATTGTACATTCATAATTTTCGAAGCTCTATGTTCACAATTTTAGAGCTCTATGTTCATAATTTTATCACTATATGTTCATAATTGTAAGTTCATAATGTTAGAGCTCTTTGTTCATAATTCGATCAATAACTGTACATTCATAATTCCATAACTGTAGATTCATAATCTCATAACTGTAGATTCATAACTCCATAACTGTAGATTCATAACTCTATAACTGTACATTCATAATCTTCGAAGCTCTATATTCACAATTTTAAAGCTCCATGGTCATAATTTTATCACTATATATGTTCATAATTGTAAGTTCATAATGTTAGAGCTCTGTGTTCATAATTTCATAATTGCATAACTGTACATTCATAACGGCATAACTGTACATTCATAACGGCATAACTGTACATTCATAATCAAAAAAAAAAAAATAACGCCGTTAACGCCGTTAACGGCAAAACACGCGCAATTTTTTTTTTTTTTTTTTTTTTTAACTAAATGACGCGTTTTTTTTTAAAAACGACGTCGTTTTGGGCCCGTGTCCACAATTCAATGTGGACACGGGTCCAGAGCATAATTTGCCGACTAAATTCCTTATGCTCTGCCTATTGTTGTTAGAGTATCTTTATCAATTGGGGTTATTTCTCAATTTTTTTTTGTGGGCCCCAGCATCCACCTCATCCTCCACTATCTCACCCAATCACAAAAACACTCTCTTCTCCACATCAGTTTTAAGTTATTTCTCAATTTTTATGAACCCACTATTTAACCCACTATATTTTAATTGTTTCTTTATCTATTTTATTTATAAATTTATAATTTTAATACAAAATAGTGAAACATGCCTACTGGATTTGCAAATGAAACAAAAAAGATGGATGTGAAAAATTTGTAAATAATAAAACAATAAAAAAACAAATTTGCAAATGAAAAATTTTAAATGTGAAAAATTTTGAAATTTGTGAAAAATTTAAAATATAAATAATAAAACAATAAAAAAACAGATTAAATGTTAAAAACAAAAAAGATGATGTATACTGCATGCCTGCGATTCTACGAACCAGATATGAAGTTAACAACATAAAAAAAAAAAAAAAAAAAAAAAAAAAAAAGAAACTCAATCGCCCAGCTGGTGGCCACTGCATTCTTTCTTTATTTCTTTTTTTCCCTGACATTATCCTCTCCTTTGCCGGAGGACGATTTCTCAAATAACTCACACTCACATCATATTTGAACTTGGACTTGAGAGATTTACTGTGCAAATAACTTGGAATTATGCTCTAGTGTGGATGTTTTTATATACTTTTATTTATCAGCCTTCGGAACTAACACACATACTGCTGTTAAAGAACCGAACATAAATGAATGAAGGTTATTCGTGTTCATTTGTTAAGATTTTTAAAAATTTGGTCAATTCGTGTTAGTTTGTTAAGCGTTAATTAGTGTTTGTTAACGTTAACAAACGCGTTCACGAACATGTTTATTAATGTTTGCGAACACGTTCGTGAATGCTTGCTTAATAACCAAACACATGCTCATGTTAATCATCACAATTCGTTCGTGAATAAGAAATAATCTATGTTCACTGAAATTGCACCGTAACACTTGAAATATAAAAGCTATGTGTTTTTACTTGTTAATTAGTTTTGCATCAATTTAGTTAATTAATTAAACTTGTTTATGCAAGTATAAATAATAACTGCAGAAAGCATAAAGTAAATTAAAAACACAAAGAAATTGTTACGCAGTTCGGAGCTCCTTCTCCTACGTCTGCGGGGCAACCCACGTCTGCCCAATCCACTATAGATGTTCACCAAAAGGAGTATTACAAGAGGTAAATGAAGACGGCCTCCAGCCTTTACCACTACCACTCTTTCTAACACCTATCCAGGACTGACACACGAATACCCGAACAATCTTCACAAGTTGCTTCAGCAGTACCACGTACTGATCATGTAGTACAATTTAAATACTCTTAAGAATTAAATCATAAATCACATTAAAACATAAAATAGCTTTGTAAATTCAGGATAGCTCTTGCAATGTGTAAGAATCAAATTGGCAATGTCTTCATTCGAGCAGTATGTTTTTATAGTGCTTCATGAGCCTTTTGTTTTGATCCTCAATTGTAGCCTCTTCCTTAGCCTTCCACTGTTCGAATAAGCCACATCCACTCATTTTTGTTCTTTGAATGCTTCACCGTAGACTTAATTATACACTGCATGCTGGCCACTAATTTTATACTCACATGGTCCATAAAAGAATTAAGCTAACAACACTAATTTAATTTAAATCTAGTACAACCAATAAAATAGCCAATAGTGTAAATTTATTTTACACTTACAATCTCCCCCTTTGGCATTTTATTTAGAAAATTTGAGTATCAAATACTTTGGGCAAGAATCAATTTAAGTTTTATTTATAGCCCTTAGTATAGGTACTTAACATAACATAAAAAAATAACAAATTAAATTCTTTTTGACCATTTGTGAGTAGAGAACCTAATTGGAAATCTTCAATTCTTGAATCACACACAGAAGCATTGAAAACATAGCATACCATATCAACGATTAACTTGTGCATGTGAGATACCATACCAAAAATATCCATACAGTTAGTTTGGAGCACCAAACACTACTATTACTCCCCATAACTAATATAAGTCCATTATTACCATACTGACTAGCATTAACACTTCCAAAACTAACCAATACCAACAAACACTGCCAAATAAAACCGTACCATAGTCATAAAAAAAAAAAACAGTAGTCATCCAAAAAGTAGAAGATTTCATCCAAAAAGAACCGTAATACTCCTCCTTACTCCTTACTCCCCCTTTTGCCAAATAAATGACAAAGGAAGGTGAACATCAAATAGTGGATTAGAGTTACCGTGCAGACGGGTGCCCGAGTCTGAATCATCTTCTTCATCTTCAGAGTCAGAATCCGAGGAAGCAGCTCCAGTGTCAGCTAAAACCCGAGCGTGAATAGCTTCCATGCGAGTGATTTCTTCGAGCTGTGCATCACGAAGCTTTGCAAGGCCAGAGATGGTGGCTTGTTGAGAGGTGACTGACTGTTGAACTTGTGCAACAGAGGCCTCAAGAGTGAGCACAATCTGCCTACGATCAACCAATGTTGGGGGCTCTTTGGGAACCAGTCTTGAGCCTGGACGAGAAGCTGACGCAGTGTCAGTAGATGAAGCTGGCGCAGAAACCAGTGGCGCTGGAGGTGGAATAGCAGGAAGCTGATCAAGTGAAGCTCGATCATCATAATGGCCCCGTTGTGTAAGTCGATCATAAAAAATGTAAGCATTGTCAGGAGTTGTAATCACTTCTTCCTTATAGGGCTTAAAACCATGATCCTGAAGCACCGCATAAATCAAACACGGATATGGGAGATGGACTTTGGCTTCTTTCTTCTGCAAAAAAGACATTAAGTGAGAGAAAATAACCATGCCGAGGTTGAACGGAAGATGGTTCCTGATTTTGTATAGAAGGCCAGCTAGATGTTCTGGTACTTGGTGGCGACGGACTGCCGGGACCCAATTTGCCGATGCAAGGCGAAGAAGCACGGAGTAGACAGTTGTGAGCTTCAAGCTTGAAATTCCATCACTCGCCCATGAAACCACTTTATTATGAGTGAGTGCAGTTGCCAACAAGTGAGGATTAGGATCCGGAGAAGCAGGATGATTTGGTGTGCCCAAATATGCATTAATCTCAGTAGGCCCGAAAGGATACCAAGTGCCACGAATGAAAACCTGATGAAATCGTGCTGAGCCTTCAGTGAATGTGTCCAAGGTCAAATTTGTGTAAAATTCTGCTGTCAACCATGTGGAGTAGGGACCAATATGGCGTAGAGAGGCAAGCAAATTTTGATCACGTAACAACGGGATAATATTGCACTTGGCAGCCAAATCCTCTTCATTGATGGATTTTTCGACGATGAAAACACGGTTGACATGAGTTTTCCAAACAGCAAATAAATCGGGAGACAGAAGATGCGGTTTGTAGACCTTGCTTGATCCTTTCGATTTGGAGCCAGATGGCGTAGGAACAACATGTGTGTCAACTTGGGCTCTTGACCGAGTGGTTCTGGGTGGCAATGTGGAACTCATCCGTTGAAGTTTACGGTCAGTTTGAGTTTCAACATCATCCAACTGTGACAATCCTCTCTTTTCTGCAGTACCTGAAACAGAGATTTTCTCGTTTCCCTTTCGGGAAGATTTAGCAATAGGAACAGAGATAATGGGAACCGATTCTTGAGTAGATGAAACAGGAATGGGTACAGGATCAGAGTGACTTTTAGACGCAGCAATAGTAACGGGGATAGAAAAGGCCGAACAAGATACAGTTGGAACAGACACATGTTGGGCAACATTTCGAATGGAAAACGCAGATGGCAAAGAATTTACTAAGTCAGATAAAGCAACTAAATCAACATTTTCCCTAGGTAAATTGTGAGTCAAAGGATCATAAGGATCACCAGGTACAGGCAGAGTTTGAACATCAAAAACATCATGAGATATGGGAAACACAAATTGATCAGGCAAAGATACATCAAAATCAATTTTTCTAGATGTGTTTAAAGGTGAAGAGAGGGCAGGGAGTACCACTGTCTGAGATGAGGCAAGAGACGCTGGACCGGGAAGAGTGGAATCTGGGACAGCGGCTAACACAAGTGGAAACAGCCAAGGTGTGGCTGAGATATGGCGAGCTAGAGCAAGCATTTGCCTCTGTTCTTTGTCCGTGAGCCCTTCCAGTAGAAACCCATCTGATTTAATTGTTGCAAGAACCTTATCGGTAGCTTCAGGAGATAAGGGAGACTCGGCATCAATGATTTTTCGAAATAGGTTGGCTCTTTCGGATCGAGTTAAGGTGAGAAATGGATTTTCCATGGGTGTAGCTTGTAGAGAGCAACAATAGTGGAAGGTGAAGAGATGAAGATGATGGTGGTGATCTCGGGTTAGAGAGGAAGACCAAGAGAGACAAAAAGTAATGGGTTGATTTGATGTCTAACTTGAAAAGGCGTGAGAGAGTTGATGGCTAGGATAGATATAATGATAGACATAGGTTTGTAGATGAGTGGAAAAAGGAGAGATTGATGGTGTTTGACTAGAATTAGTCTTCTAGATGCAAGCATGAGACATCCGAAAAAAATGAAGAATAAAACACCCCAAGGAAAAATTAGTAATTCATAAATAGATAAGTAAGACCGGAAATATTAAATAATCCCAAACAAATTCATATCCCTTTGTCCCTGGTAACAGAAACCAATTAATCAGTTATTTCAAAATAAAAAATAAAAAAAATTAAAAAAAATACCTGCTGGAGAATTTAGACATTAATCGTACAAACTCCGAGGGCTGCACAAAGTAGTTCAAACCTGGATTTGTCTAATGGTTTCGTGAATAAATCTGCAAGATTTTTGTCAGTAGGAATGTATTCTAACTTAATTTCTTTTTCTTCAACTAGTTCACGGATGAAATGATGACGGATGTCTATGTGCTTCGTCCGGGAGTGTTGGACCGGATTTTTAGATATATTGATCGCACTCGTGTTGTTGCAGAAGAGGACCATATTTTTCTGATCAAACCCGTAATCGGACAGCATTTGACGCATCCAAAGCAGTTGTGTACAACAACTGCCTGCAGCTATGTACTCAACTTTTGCAGTGTTGAGCGATATTGAATTTTGTTTTTTACTCAGCCAGGCAACCAGATTTTTCCCAATAAAGAAACATCCTCCGGACGTGTTTTTTCTATCATCGGCGTTACCAGCCCAGTCAGCATCACTAAAACCTATAAGACTAAGATTAGTATCAGTGGAATACCAAATACCATAATTTATTGTACCTTTAACGTATTTTATAATACGTTTGACTGCCTTCAAGTGCGATTCCTTTGGATTTGCTTGATAGCGTGCACACATGCCAATACTTACCATGATGTCAGGTCTACTAGCAGTTAGGTACAGTAGACTACCAATCATACTCCTGTACAATGTGGAGTCAATGGAAGTTCCTTGATTGTCTTTAGATAATTTTGTAGTTGTTGAGACGGGTGTCCGGGCATCTTTCGCAGATTCTAGACCGAATTTTGATATGAGATTTTTCGCATATTTCGCTTGAGAAATAAAGATCCCTTCTTTTGACTGATTGACCTGTAATCCTAGAAAATAAGTCAGCTCTCCGATCATACTCATTTCGAACTCTTGTTGCATAACTTTGACCAGTTTGTCCGTTTCACCTGTCTGTGTGGACCCAAACACAATATCATCAACGTAAACTTGTGCAATGGTTATGTGTTTACCTGATCGTTTTATGAACAAGGTTTTGTCCGAACCTCCTCGTTTGTAATTATTCTGAAGTAAATATTGGGCAAGTCTTTCGTACCAGGCTCTTGGAGCTTGTTTTAGCCCATATAGAGCTTTTTGAAGCTTCTATACATATTCTGGATGTTGCGGGTCTTCAAACCCTTTCGGTTGTGCAACATATATATCCTCTCTGAGATAGCCATTTAGAAAGGCTGTTTTAACATCCATCTGAAAGAGCTTGATCTTTAAAGCACAGGCAATGGAGAGTAGCAATCGGATGGATTCCAGGCGAGCCACTAGAGCAAACATTTCGTCGTAGTCGATTCCCTCAATTTGGGAATATCCTTGAGCGACTAGTCTTGCTTTATTTCGAGCGATATTGCCAGTTGCGTCAGTCTTGTTTCGAAAAATCCACTTTGTACCTACAACATTTACGTTATTCGGTTTAGGAATTAGAGTCCATACCTTGTTCCTTTCGAATTGCCCCAATTCTTCTTGCATGGCCTTGATCCAGTGTTCGTCGGTTAAGGCTTCTTTGATATTCTTTGGTTCAAACTGCGACGTATAGCACGAGTATCCAGCTAGTTCAAGATAGTCACGCTTTGGTTTACCTCTAGTTTTCATACCTGAACTGGGATCTCCGATTACATTTTGGATCGGATGATTTTTCTGGATACGAGTTGGAATATCAATGTCATCATGATCATTTTCTGATTCTGTCTCAGGTTCAGATTCAGGTTGATTGTCTATGGGCAATGAAGTAGGTGACTCATGGTCTGGTTCTGGAGTACCAGCGTCAGGAGTTTTAGGTCGGTCAGTTTCAGGTTCTGTCACTGGGTCGAATTGGATAGCTTCAGTAATTTCACTAGGTTGATCATCAATGACGACATTTGTGGACTCCATGATGGTTTTGGTCACTTTATTGTATACTCGATAGGCTCTACTGTTGGTGGAATATCGGAGAAAAATTCCTTCGTCGCTTTTTGGTTCAAATTTAGAAGTAGGATTCCTATCTTTCAAAATAAAACAGTGTGAGCCGAAAATGTGAAAATAAGTAATGTTCGGTTTCTTACCTTTCCAAAGCTCATACGGAGTTTGTATTGTACCCGGACGTAGGTAAACTCTGTTGATGATGTGACACGCGGTGTTTACAGCTTCTGCCCATAATTTTTGTGGTAGTCCTTTGGCGTTGAGCAATACTCTACCCATCTCCTGGATAGTGCGATTTTTCCTTTCCACAACTCCGTTTTGTTGTGGAGTTTTTGGGGCTGAATACTCATGTGTAATCCCTTGTTGATTACAAAAGTCGTCGAACAACTTGTTCTCGAATTCTCTGTCGTGATCGCTTCGGATTCTACTGATGGATTCGTTTCTTTCTTTTTGAAGTTTTAATCCCAGTGTCTTGAATGCCTCAAGTGCCTCGGATTTTTCCCTGAGAAACATAACCCAAGAAAAACGAGAAAAATCATCAACGCATACTAGTATATATTTTTTACCTCCAAAACTTTCTGTCTGAGTTGGTCCAACGAGGTCCATGTGAATCAATTCCAGGCACCGGCTTGTGTTTATGGTGTGTTGAGCAGGGTGAGCTGATCTGATTTGTTTCCCAGCTTGGCAGGCACCACAGATAGGTGACTATACTTTCATCTTTGGTAGCCCACGAACACCTTCTATTTTTACAAGTTTATCGAGAAGTCTATAACTAAGATGACCCATTTTTTGATGCCATAGCTCATCTTCATTCACGCTGGTCCTGCAACATAGCACATTATTTGTTAGGATATAGCAATTATCAGTTGATCGTTTACCTTCCATGACACATTGATTTGTGTTGTCCATCACACTGCAGCTATTTTTAGTGAAACACACGTTCCAGTTTTTGTTGCACAATTGACTTATGCTAATAAGATTAGCGTGAAGTCCACGGACAATTAACACTTTCTCCAGTTTTGGCAAACCAGTTACATTTAAAGTGCCTACGCCAGTCACTTGACCTTTGACACCGTCACCAAAAGTAACTTCACCGTTACCGATATTGACGTTGTTCAGGAATTTTACATTCCCTGTCATGTGACGGGAACACCCGCTGTCAAAATACCATTTCTCTTCTCGTCCTGCACTTTTAGTATGAAATGAAACAAAAGATATATAATCAGCCTTTTTGACCAAAATTTGTTTTGTGAACGGGTGAATGTTCTTGTGCCTGAACTTCTCAATCCTTTGATCTTTGTAGAAGTAGTAACATTCAGGTCTGGTATGTCTGCGTAACCTGCAATAGTGGCAAATAGGATTATATAGCTTATAACTCATCTTATGTACGTTTACTTTACCATAGGAGCGTTTCACAGTGCTGCATTCAGGGATGTCATTTGGATCAGGTCCAGATGCTTTGACAAATACAGTCTTATCTTTGGAGTTACTGCCAGTAAAGCCCAAGCCAAATTTTGCAGAAGTTTTCCTGCCGGAATCAAGAATCTTATCGAGTGTTGAAGTGGTATCCATCATTTGGATTTGTCGTTTGTAGGTGCTGAGCTCCTGTTTCAAATTCTGAACTTCTTGTTGGAGTTTTGCTTCTCGGTCAGCTTCTTCCTTAAGAAGTACCTTTCCGGTTTGTACTTCGTGTTGTAGTCTTTCTTCTCGACCTGCTGCTTCTTTAAGCAAAACATTCCTATCAGCTACTTGATTTTGATATACTTTTTTTGCATTCATTACAATCTCTATTTCACTAGCTAGTTTGCAGTTCATTTTTCTTAATGCTTCCCATTTGGGATACAACTTATTAAATTCAGCTTCAAAAGATAAAACATTTTGTTCCACATCTTCTGCAGAGACGTAGTCACCACCTTCTGAGTCTTCAACAGGTTCTGAACTGTCAGTAAATCGTGCTGTGAATGCAACAAAATTACCCGAAATTTCTTCGACATCTGACCCAGTTGGTTCAACGTCGGGCTCGTCATCGCTCCAAGTAATGGCTGACATAGACTTTTTGCGTCGAAGATAGGTGGCGCATTCAGCTTGTACATGCCCAAATCCCTCGCATTCATAACACTTGATGCCTTTATTTTTGGATCTTTCTTTGGACTGTCCTGGACGTGAGACAGACTGCTTATCGTTTGACGCCCCTGTCCTAGGTGCAGTTTTGAACGACGTTTCTCCCTTTTGTGAATTTCTGTTGCGAGTGTTTTTGGATACCTGTTTCAAAATTTTAGAAAACTGTTTAGTTAAGAACGCAACTGTATCATCACTAATTTCATCTGTATCGGATACAACATTATTTTCTTCAGCGGCAAAAGCAATATTTTTTTTTGTTTTTTTCGTGTAATCAGTTAAAATCTCCATTTCATATGTTTTAAGATTTCCCATTAGCTGAGTAACAGATTTTTTCACCAAGCCATCATGCTCTTGGATGGCTGTGACTTTCATTCGAAACCTGGGCGGTAAAGATCTCAGTATCTTCTTAACAAGTTTTTCTTGCGAGAATGGTTCACCAAGGACCATTGCGCGATTCGCCAGTTCCTGTATGCGTGTATGAAAGTCGATGACTGTCTCATCCTCGTTCATGCGCAGTTCTTCGAATTCTGAC